GGGTGCCTCCATAGCAGCCACTGAGCTGCTGGGGGGGGGGATGAGTGCTGCGGGGACCCACTATAAAACAAGTAATAGAAACTTTTTGAAGAAAAAGAACAGACAATTTATTGGAAGGTGGGCCTCCTAGATGGAAAAAAAAACAACGTAAGCTTTAATACCACTTTAAGTCCTGCAGGGTTCCATACATTTACCTTCAATTTGAAAAATTACACATTTTCAGACAAAAATACAAAGAAATCCCCTTGACTGAGTTGATTCAGAAGAAGTAAAACCCCATTAAAGCATGGTCTAATTTGAACCAATAGGGAAACATTTTTTCCCCAAAACATTAATAGCTTTTTGTGTTTTGTTTTGTTTTTTTACAACACATCCAGCTTTTTTGAAGCAATCAAAAGAGATGAACCAGCACCTGCAGAAGACTATGAGGGTTATTCACGAAGCTGCCGAAGGTAGCCGAGTAAATGCGAGCTGCGATGTCGATCTGCCCTGTAACAGCTGACAAAGTGTTGGCATGCTTGACCTATTGGCGGTCACACATTCCATGAATGAGTCTGGCAGCTGCATTCATGATAGACTGAAGGGCCGAAAAACTGGGCGGGATTACTTTACAATGTGTGATCGGTCACACATTCTAACGTAGTCACAAACTGATAGAACACCGGCTGGCTTGCGCTCCAGAGGCCGAACGCTCAGGAGCGCAGAAATTTGTGGTGTGAATCGGCCCTCTCTCTTGGTTGTCTCTTCTCTCTTTCTCCTAGCTCCCTGCTGTCTCAGTCGATCGCAAAGCGAACATTGGTAGATCGCGATCGACCTAATGGGCACCTCTGCTCTAAACGGTATGGCTCCTTAATTATAGTATGTTGGACTGTATCCAGTCTAGCTAACTTGATATATGTGCTCATTTTGTTTCCCCTAAGCTCTCTCTGTTATTGTTTGCGTCTGCCTGCTGCTGGGTGTAACTTTGCCATAGAGCCATCCAATAATGCAGAGTTATAAATTTGTGTGTCTCCCTAGTCAATCACTAGGAGGTTCATGGCCAGTGATGCATGCTGTTGGAGG